TATACCGGTGACCCCAGAGCTGGTGCTTTCTTCGCTCAACGAATAAGTATCGCAATACAGCGTTGAAATGCTGCCAGCGTTAAAGGTACACTGCCACAGGGACCAAACTTTTTAGATCCGTTTTAGTTTTCTTTCTATTAATTTGTAATTACTTTTATTTTTACTATGTGGATTAAAAAATGTAAATACTGTATATTTGATTGATGTATGTATATAGATAGGAAATATTATTATTGTTGTATTTAAACAATCTACTGGGCCGCTTTCAAGGATTAGTTCACCATATGAATACTCTCTCTCGAAGGAAAAAAGCCTATATATATATATATATATATGTATATATATATATATATATTATATATATATATATATATATATATATATATGTATGTATATATTATATGTAATTAAATCCAAAATATTTTTTTGAAAATTCAGCCGGGCGCATGACATATGACATCGACATATACCATAAGGAATAAATGAATATATATATTATAATAGGGTAAGATCGAAGAGCGACTCAAACGTCAAAAATGTCTTGCAATTTGACAGGTCATACACACTGTATTGAAGAAGGCTTGCTTTAAAAGTAAAACCTCTTTTCACGCTTAGCATTTTCTATTTAGCTTTTTATCGATTATTTCAGACATTGTCTTTTATCCATTGTTTCATTTTGTGTCGCAACCCATTGTCTCCGTTACGAAATATTCACTATTTCTTACAACTCTCCATTATAGACAATGTTCTAGAAAATATATCCTATTTTAAATTTTCTATGTAAGAATATTCACAGGATTTTAAATTGTATGCGTACAATAAGTTAGGAGTAATTGCAACCGAATTAATTATTACAGATATAGAGATACAGCCATCAAAAACGTAACTTGTAAAAAAAGTCTCGTTACTGTAAAATACCATAGCTAATTTCACAGCGTTATGTCCTACGGTATTCTTCTGTGGGCTGCTGCTGCAGAGGTTCAATCCATATTTTTGCTGCAGAAGCGGGCTGTTCGGGGGATTTGTTGTATCCCAAGGGAGTCTACGGGAGTCAACGGAATAAGTTTAAGGTATAAAATATTAGCAGTGTTGGCCTAGTGGCTTCAGCGTGCGACTCTCATAGGTTGTAGGTTCGATCCCCGGCAGTGCACCAATGGACTTTCTTTCTATGTGCGCATTTAACATTTGCTCGAACGGTGGAGGAAAACATCGTGAGGAAACCGACATGTCTTAGCCCCAAAAAGTCAACGGCGTGTGTCAGGCACTGGAGGCTGATCACCTACTTGCCTATTAGATTTAAAAATGATCATGAAACAGATTCAGAAATCTGAGGCCGAGACCTAAAGAGGTTGTAGCGCCACTGATTTAATTACTTTTATAAAATATTATGACACTATCTGGTAAATATATTGTTAAAGGTGACTGACCAGTATAATACTCGAAACAGAACAAATCTAAGCGTACGACCAACCAGGCTCTCGAAGATGAATTGTCCGTTAATTATTCCCTACTAAGTTATTACGTAATTATCTAATCTAACAACATCTTAAAGTGACCGTATTAATAATAAAATTATTTTGTTTAGTGCGTTTTAAATCATTGAAAAATAACGCAGTATTACCCAATCATTCGTGATATACATGAAAAACACTACTTCAATTGCTGACAAGAAACAATTTGATATGTTATGATTAGTTTTATAAACAATTTCACCAACTATATTGAGCTGACATACTTAATATTCACTGAATAAGGACTTTTAAAAGACGTTTCTAGGTATCTAGTACTAATTATAATTACATGTGAAATTCGACGCCTCGATGTTTTTGTTCAGTTTCATGAATAACAGTGTGTTGAAGTTGTCACATTAAAACCATAAAGCATGTTGCTTCAAGCGTAAAGGCATTTTAAGAAGGAATTATATATTCCCAAATTTTTCTAATTTATAACTAGCGAGCCGCGGTCAAAATCCGTTTAGTAATATTCGAGTTTATCGCGAACAGACAGACACGGCGAAGACTTTATGAATTATTTAGTAAGGTTATTTTTGTGTGAGGCATTTGAATATATTTTATATCAATAATAATATGCCAACGATAACACGACGGTGTGACCATTTTTGGAAATGTCAAAATACCTGTGTCAAGCAGATGTTTGTTCTTACACCTGCTACTGCTAGACAAACGAAAATAGAAGACAGGTGCTTGTTAGGTATATTATTAATTACAAATATACTAGTTAATGTATGGCTAATTAGTTGGTCAAACGATTTACCATACATATTACGTAATGTTTGCTGTTTTTGTGTTTGAATAAGAAAAATACATACACGGAAATATTTCCTTAGAAAATACCTATAATAATCAGTAAACATAACTTGTGACTTGTTTTTATATTTCGCATCTGTCTCTCCAAAATTACAATGTTAAATTGGTTTAGTACGCATAGGCGGGAGTTTCTTTTAGCTCCCTCTGAGCATAGATAAGTTTGACAGTTGACTTTGTTTTTTTTTTTCCTTCTTCTAGGTTTTATGCCTAGTCTTTCAGGTATTATTCTATAGTATTCCACAATTTTGCGGAACAAGAATAGAATAACAAATACAAAATTAATAAGATATTTATTATGACTACTTCAGTACACAAGCGACTTGAGCCGCAATTTTTTTAGGTTTGGTATAATATAATATTAAACAAAATCGATTTAAAATAACACTTAATTTCGCCATCAAAGTAAATAAATTAAATAAACATTACCTTTTCGGTTTCCATCTCTTCATTAATACTCCAAACATCTTATTCAGCTTGTAACTTGAAGAAAAACACTTCACAACACTTACGATTGCGTTAATTCAACGCAAATTAACACTTAATCAACCAAATAACAGTTTAAACATATAAGAACTATAATTTATTTATTATTAATAACGATAATTGACGTTTAAGACACTCAAATACGCGTATCGCGCGATCGATTGGAAACGATAAATAAACCACATGCGATTCTTATCGCACACGCGAGCGAACTAAATTGTGGCTTGTGATTTTGTATGAAGAACGTTGCCTGTCTAGTTGTGCAACGAGTTGGTCGGCAGATTAATCAACAGCAGATTTTCCGATATTTTCGAAAATATGTCCTTATTTTCGACCGTTTCTTTAACCGTTTTTGGCATATTATATTTTTTATTAAATGTTCTGACATTTGTAAGGAAATATATTTTACAATGTTATTTGTGTAATTTGTCAGTTACTTTCTCTTATTTCATACTAAAAGCATTACTTATTTAAAAATCATTTATTCTTGGTTTTCCCCAAAAATAATAAATGTGCTTGATACAGGTGAATGATCTATCTGTCAACAAATTTAATACACTTGTGTAAATAAGTATTTTGACACCAAATTGGAAATAGTTTTGTCACACTTGTTCTAACAATATTAGATAATATTTGTAAAACACAAAACATTCTACTCATAGAATAGACATAGACACTTTGAATTTGATTATTAATTTCCATAGTGTATATCAAGCATCGGTGGTTCAGTGGTAGAATGCTCGCCTGCCACGCGGGCGGCCCGGGTTCGATTCGATGCAATATCTTTTATGTTTTTTTAGTTATCTAAAAATGTAAGAACTAGTATCATACATATACATTTTTTAATTTTAGGCTATTTCAGTCTCTTACCGTGAAATTTTAACGCCAAAAGCGGCTTAACAGTTTTAAAACATTTTATTTTTACAAGTATAATTATCACGCATATGAATTTATAATCTTTCATCATGCTTCCATAGTATGCATGCTACAGTGCTTCTCCACGAAAGCGTGACGTTCCTCATATCTGCACGGTCTGATGGCTTAAGTGTACCATATTGCGGTTATACCGCATCTATGACCAGAAGTATTTAGCACATAGCTATTTCATTAGCTTGGAGCTTTGGGTAAATACATAAATTATCTTATTTGCAGTTGCTTAAATTATTTAAAATTAATTTTATTTTGTTTCTCATGTACCTCTGTCCACTCATACATCCTCCGTGTGTTTTTTCTTATAGAACAGGGGGATAACTGGCAAGACCCTATGTCGAATTGGCTCGGAAATACTTCAGTGTAGACTGATCTATATGATGGACAGTTTCAGGCTTTACATACCAATAATTGTCTAATATAGAATTTATTGTCGACTCTTATCACGGGGAGTCATTCTTAGTAGCTACTGTATTTCATTATTACTTAATTAAATGTAGAGATAATAAATTGTTCCCGTTGAATTGCCAGTATCAAAATCGATACAATACTGTTCTATTAAAATAAATCTTATCGTTGTATTATACTGTCAATTATAGAATATCAAAACTGGCGATTATCGTATTATAGATTTTATCATATTGACAGCTGTATGCCGTAGCTGCTCTAGATTCTTTAGGAATGCCATTTTATTTGCTTGGACTTTCTCCTCTGTGTTTAATCGCTTATTTTTACAGCAGCAATGAAAATTCTTTAGCTCCCGACCTTTTTAAAGTATGAACCACGCGGTACATTTCATCTCTATTTCATTACATTGACTGCAGACCATAGTCTAAATGCAGTTTGCAAGCGTTAAATTTTGTTAAATATGGATTTGGAATCATTTAATTTTGTTTCGACGTTTATAAGTGTACCATGTTAATTATTATACGAATGAAATATAATTTTATTATTATAATTAACCTACTGAAATAATTACGCCGCTTGCATTCTTCACTAACACAACAAGGTTTTTCTCGTTTACTTAAAATAACAATGATATTATATATATTTGCGGTCGTATTTAAATTTACTAACAGTATTTTAGGTGTAAAAACTTAAAATTATGCATGAACGCCTACAACAATTCATGTAGCCGCCATTAACCATAGAGCATAAATAAAATGAAGATTATGCAAATATACGATTAAATTGGAACAAGATGTTAGGTTCCAAGGGGATTTTATTTGACGTAACCAAAGTATGGAAACTTATTGTTATTTAATCTGGTAACTGCACTTCACTGACATAATCTGTACCCCTCGTTCTAATTCTTCGTGTACTCGTTGGTACCGTCGTTGTAACTGTAGATTCTTCTGTAGTTACTTCAGTTGTGATTTCTTCTGTTGTAGGTTTTTCTGTTTCTATTTCTGTGGTAAGTTTTTCGGTAGTTGCCTGCGTAGTTGTAACTTCTTCTGTTGTAACTTCTTCTGTTGTAACTTCTTCAGTTGTTACTTCTTCAGTTGTGACTTCTTCTGTTGTGACTTCTTCAGTCGTTGATTCTTCAGTTACTACTGATACTGGTGTAGTCATTTCTAGAGTAGTTTCTTCCTTGGTCGTTGTTATTGGTGAGGTGGAGTTAATTTCATCCAATAATTTTAATTTTTTCGCAGTTGTTGTGTTAGGCGTCATGAAGTTCGACAGAACTTCGTCTATATCTTCGAACTCATCTTCTGTCAGCTTAAGCACTTCATTTTTCCAATCACCCAGACAGGTGTCGATGCATTCGTCTTTCTCTTTGAAGATATTAGGTGTTTTGCATTCTCCCCAGATCAGGGGTAGACATTCTTGTTTCGCTTCGTTGAATGTGTATGCAATGTTCTGTGGACCGGACTTACAAGTTTGAGTAACGGTGTGCGAACACTGTTCTGTAAAAAAAACGTGTGTGTACTTATGTAGACGCGTAAGTTATACTTATTTGGCGTAACAAGATAAAAATCGTATCAAAAATTTTATTCTACGTTTGTAGAAAGAACGACACTAACAATAGAAAAAAAACTAAAATGTTGACTATAGCTAACTTCAGGGTGTCGGTTTTTTGTGACTGCGCGAATCGTAAAAATTTACTCTAATAATTTTTTCCTAAGGCGCCAAAAGAACTTCAAAAATTATTTGAAAGTGTTCGTTTAATAGAAATAACACGGTGTATTTGAAGAACAAATAGAAAACTGACGTCTGACAGTGACAAACCATAGTGGTATGATTAATGATTTTGTTACTTATTACTTATTAGTTAAATAAACATTTTATTACAGCAGTGAGAGAGTTGGCAGTTACCATTACATTTCTTTTTCCAAAGAGAATACTATATTTTAATCAGTTCATAGATCAAAGGACTATGATGCAAGAGACTCATGTAATCTCCAATGTTTTTCATGGCTAGTGTAGTTCACCATATCCAATTGCATATCACACAACTTCATCTTACTTAATTTTATCATAAAATTAACAAAACTTTCAAAATTACCTGCTCCATCATAGCTCACCATAGGAGTAGTAAGAGTAGGTTTTAAAAAGTTGTAAATGCAATAATGAGAGCACAAATACTCATTGTCAAATTTGTTGTAGGTGGGACATCCTCTCCATATCTCTATTTCACATCTGGATCCTGGTTTGTAGTAGGAGAAAACTGGTGTAGGAGTTCCCTGACAATCACTGGTGTTCAGATTATAGAGACAGTATTCTGGTGGCACTGAAAATATAGTTTATTGTAAAATTTTACCAAAAATCATCAGACAGTAGAGACGCTGACCACACAATCAAAAGATATGCACCACAATTCAATTATTTATAGATTAGAATTATAGTTACTGTACCTTTTACATAACTTATCAAGACTTTTGTAAAAATTAATTTATTGTTTATAATGTTGAAATGTTTGAATTAGTAAAGATGTATGATAATAATATGTCACAGGTTAATATTTATAATGCCAAAGATAATACTTACCGGCTTTTACTGTAAGTCTTAAAAACAATAAAGCAATTTTCAAACCAAACTGAGTAATTTTTAAGATCATGTTTTGATATTACTAGCTCATTTTCTGCTTGACTTTGCTGTAATTAAAAATCTTGCTTATCTTAATTACTTTTTACTGTTTTATTTATGTTCCGTAACTGATTGCCACAAAAATGCAAATTACTAATTATTTCACGCACGCAAGTATGGATGATATTATAAATAAATATAAAAAATAGAGTTGCATCGGCCGGGAATCGAACCCGGGCCGCCCGCGTGGCAGGCGAGCATTCTACCACTGAACCACCGATGCTATATTAACATTACTGAATTTATGCATATTACCTTGTAGTACTTTTTATTATTTAATTTGAAGTTACTCAGATTCATAAAAATTTAACATTTCATCACATACGCACAATTTGATGGAAAGAGAGTAAATACTACTTTATTTTTAGAGTACAATTTTATTAATTGGAGGGAAATGCAGATAAATGAGACAAGTTTCCTATGACTTAGTTATAAATGAAGAATTTGCTATGATTTTTTATCATATACGTAAGTATTTTCTCTTGTATATTCATAAAAAAATTACTGTTCGTGATGTTTATTGCCATTATAATACATGTCAAAACAATACCAATTGTAAGTATATAAATAATTGATTACGTTTAATAAAAGTTAAAATAATGTCTCAATGTCATTTATTCACAGCTTAGTATTAACGAATCCTACATATTATGCAACAACAGTATAAAAATCTTAATATGTCTAAACTTAGTCATGAGTCCGTTCGTTATGTCTTAAGAGATCTTTGGATTTATCCTGCTATTTAAAAATATTACCTCTAAAACTCTGCTTTGTTTTTAGCGCCACCTTTGTAGGAAATAATGAACTAGTAAAGTTTTGGTTGAAGTTCGATATTCATTTGTTTTTGTGTTTAGCGCCATCAAGTAAACGCTTATGAACTTAAAAAAATTCTAATTTGTTGTTGGCGCCACCTATTTAAAAAAATAATGACTAGCAAAATTTTGAATGTTAGATTTTCATTTAATTGTGTTTAGCGCCATCTAAGTAAATGCTTATGAACTAAAAGGTTTTTTTCATTTTCAGCGACACCTCTAAGAATCTACAAAAATAATATTTAGCGCCATCTAGTGTGTCGTGTATTCTGAGGTAATATTTTTAAAATCAATAAATTGTCTTTGTTTCACGTTGAGCTTACAGATTTCGGTTTCCCTGAACTTAGTGAAGCTCGTGGCATAGGTATAGGGGCCACAGCTACTTGTTCCATGTTATCTGGTTTCACATTATGTTTAATTTTCAGATGTAGTACTCCGGAGAAGGCTACCAGAAGCTGGAACAAAATTGAATTGCACGTTGCTTTATTTTAACGGTATTTCAATCAATTCAATCATATATATTTAAATTGTTTGCATTTGATGTAGGCACACAATATTTTTTTATACATTTTGGCACTAATAGTATACCATTTGCAGCCATAGCAGGAAGTTTCGTCTTAGCGCCCCGAATATGGATTTATATAGAGTATAAAACAGGAAAATACTCATTATGTTACTGACCTCTAAAACAATTAATACGATAACATTCATTAGCACCAATGCACAGGTGAATTTGAACATTGCAAGCACTGGTGTCTTGCATCCGCTTTCATGGAATTCTCTTTTTGCTTTACATGACTCTCTTTCTTTCTCCTGTAAAAGATCTGAGCGTGTAGGGTCATATCCTGGACAGCAGGATATTGGCACGTCCGGGGGGAAATAGGGCGGGATATTCGAACGCCGGTAGTCCTCTGCGCTGTAAACTCCACAGCAGCTGAGCTGTAAGAACCATTACTTATTAATTACAATAAGCTAAAGTGTGGGCTCCCATGGGCATAGGGGTCTGTCTAGCCAAGCCACCAGAATTCTTTATAATTGAAAAAGACTAACTCACAAAAGAGGGCAGAGAAGTTACATTTAGGACAATATTTGTGCTGCAGAAGCGGGCTGTTCGGGGTATTTGTTGCGTTTCTCCGAGGGAGTCGGTACGGAATAAGTTTAAGGAATAAAATATTATGACACTATCTGGTCAATATATTCTTGAAGCCTTGGTGTATGTCCAAAAAAATATAAACTATTTACTAAGTAGTGATTATTTCATTAAATTGAGTGTACGACCAACCAGGCTCCAAAAGATAAACCACTCCTTATATGGAAATTGTATTCGTTTTTACAACAAACTCCCAAGCGAAATTAGAGAATTATCACTGAATAAATTCAAAGCCCTCGTTAAACGAAAATTAATCAATAAAGCTTTTTATAAATTAGAGGAATACAAATGATCCTAATCCTTGGGTTTGATTTGCTCCAGTTCAAACAATTTGTATGACAATACTTGGCGATTAAAAAGAGTGGCGGAAAGTTTCTTGCCAGTTCTTCTTACCCGCTGTACGCCCTTGACTGGACGAACTGGTAGTATATGTAAATTTACAATTAATTTAACTTCTTTCTGACGATTCATAAGTGTACTTGTTTACCAATATGAATAAAGATATTTCTGAGTTTGAGTTTGAGGAAATTTCTACTATCTTCAAAAATACTTACATCATTCTGAGTTGCAGCCCATAACTTCATATGTCTCGAGTTGTCGTCCTTGGCCAACCGGAAGGAGTCCACCAGGGAACGATTCAGCAGAACCTCATCTTCCACTGTCACCCTCATGCACACCCCGACAATCACCGCTTGTAATACCGCTAATATTATCATAGTTGCCGTGGTCTGCAAAAACCAATTTGTTTATAAATAAAAAGTTCTGTAATAAAATAACTTTTTAGCGTAATTTTCTAAGAAATACAATAAAGGACTTGTGCTCACACCGATCGCATGAACAACGGCAGATGGACAAAAAGGGTAACGTAGTGGAAAGAGCCACCAGGAAAAAGAAAGAGAGGTCACCGTCTGGCACGGTGGGCTGACGAGCTTAAGCCTGTACTCTATAAGAGGTCCTTTAAAAAAATATATAATAAACTAGCGGACCCCACAGACGTTGTCCTGCATGATATTTAAGCGATTAGGATATTAAACAAAGTATGTAAGTACCAACTGCGGCGCCATCTGCCCGGCTGATTTGGGAATCTAAACCATACAGGGCTCCCTTTAAGAGGAGTTCAGTGACATACACACGTACAGTAGAATTATATATATATGTAAGCTATCCTATCTTTTAAGTTAGATCAATCTGCACACGGTGTGCAAATTTGATTGAAATCTGTTAAGTAGTTTATGAGTCCATAGCGGACAACGTGGCGCGTAATTTATATATTTTAAGATTATATTTTTTTAATAATAAATTAAAAAATATAAGAAATTTATTTTAAGTACGTATATTTTGTAAATGTTTCAAGGAATAAATGAGGTTTAATTATTATTATTTTATTATTCGAAGGTGGGAAGACGAAATTCCCGTAACTGGGAAAATATGGACAAGGAAAGCTCAGAACAGAGCAGAGTGGAAAGAGTTGGAGAAGGCCAAAGTTGGAGAAACAGATGGGTTGTCGGTGTCACTGACTCACTAGAGATAATAGTTTAAGTTAAAAATTATGTAAAATTTTCTGTTTTAATAAAGGCTTATATTATTATTATTAATTATTATTATTATTAAAGGAGTTGTGGAGGAATGATGCTGTACTACTCCACCCTTAATTGGAGAGAGACCCTAGACCAGTCAAACCTCTGACTGGTTGGACCAACATCAACGTCGCATAAGCAACTGGATGCCCTCAGTGAATTCTTAGTCCAGTATTGTACATGCAAATCCGGAGTCTACATTGAGCACTGAGAAATTGGCCAACATTTTGCTATGCTGGATGCATGAAAAAATTATTTTGAACCTTAATAAATAGTTGTTCGCTGTATAATTTCAGCCTAAGAAAGCCTATAATCCTTCTGGAAATCGATTTTACTTAGATTGGGTTCATTGTTGGTAGTTTATAGGTCTGGTCGCGTGATATGGCAATCAAAGCTTTCGCCTTTCGTTTTTAACCACTTCAAGGACCATGTTAATGACCTTGGTTTATTCAAATCAGATCACGTGTATGTGTCCAGTTAAAGAAAATTACTTTTAAAGTAATTTAGACATGTACTTATATTATTAGAAGCTGCTTAGTAGAGTGAAATACTTCACTTCTTGATTTCCTTTATTTCATACTGTACTAAGATAGTAATTTATTGGTAATAAAAAATAATGATTACCACTACTAGTACATAGAAGAATAATGTTTTTGATGAGTTACAGTATAGGTATCAGTAAAATAGTATAAGATATTATTTGTTCCATTATTCTACAACGTTAGAAGCTAATATTATTACTTGTTTTTTTTAATAATAGGAGGGCAAACGAGCCTAAAACGTGCAGTTATCGCAGCCCATGTATACCCATTTTTAGTAAGTGCGTTGCCGGCCTTTATCGAAGGAGTACACTCTTTCAATAGTTGAAGGTCATATCCCCCACCGGGATTCGATTCCACAGTTCGCTAGTTTGCAAAAGAAAGTGTTATGGTAGTGTGTGTAATTTTATTGTTTTTAACACACTAAGCGCAAAAGCGATTTCTCTGTTCTTTGCTTAAATACATTTTGTGCGTAAGAAAAGAGTCTACTTAAAAGGCTGACAACGCACGTACGAGCCCTCTGGCATTGAGAGTGTCTATGGGCGGCACTTAACATCAGATGAGCCTCCGTTTGCCCCTTATATAAAAAGGTTCTGTTTCCAGCATAACGATTGTTAAGGGTGGCCGGACTTGGATGGAAAATTTAATCGTTCTGTCATTAGCTACCTCATTTGAATGAATTAGATCACCAAGTGACCTTGCTGCAATAACTATCAAATGCTTACCGCATGAACAGGTTTCTCCTTCTTTTTTAACACCGCGACCAAGGTATAGATCACCACCGATATGGTCACTGCAGCCGTGACTGCGAGTAATATTAACGCCACGAGGCGGCTGGACTGCTCTTGAGTGAAGACCTTTGAAGCTATGGCTGATGCGATACTCACTGCTATTACGACAATTGATTGAATCTGAAAGAATTTGAGGGTTTAGCTGGTAATCTTAAAAATAGGTTTTAACATGAGCACTGAGCAGTGTGGGACTAGTGGCTTCAGTGTGCGACTCCCACCTCAAGATCGTAGGATCCCTGGCTGTGCACCAATGGACTTTCTGTCTATGTATTTAACATTCGGTAGAACGGTGAAGGTAAACGCGAGGAAACCGGCTTGCCTTAGACCGAAAACGTAGACGGCGTGTATCATGCATGTGGTTGATCTCTTGCCTATTAGATTGACAAATGATGATGAAACAGATACAGAAATCTGAGGCCTAGACCTAAAAAGGATCACAGCGCCACAGGTTTTTTTTTTAATTTTAACAGAATGAACGTTGTCTCGTCCGACGTTACTTCAACCTTAATCTTAGGTTGATGGATCTTTTTTATTATCCGTTGAGTGAACTGACAAAAGTTCTACTAATTTTGAGTACCTAAAGTTAGTAGTTGTTTTTTTTTCTTAATTAGCTTGTTTTCCCTAATTAATTTCTTATGTATGCTCTTGTGTTTCGTGTGTGAATATTTATGGGTTATGCATTCTTGTTGACTTAGGGTCACTTGTTGGAAATAAATAAATAAAAATCTATACTGATGTAATAAGATAAAGTTTTTGAGGTTGTAGAGGACTCTGAAACCGACTTAAAAATTCTTTTACGTGTAAGTAATTTGTGGGTGTTATAGGCTAGTTAATACCCGAAAATGAGGAATTTTCGTGGTTATTGAATTTGGAATGGTCAAGCGAAAACGTGACTTAAGTACGCTTACTTAACAATGAATTAATAATCACACAGCATTTAATATCTATAATTCTATACTAATATCATAAAGATTAAAAATTTGTATGAAAGTATGTTTGTTGGCTCAAAAAGTACTGGACCGATTTTAAAAATTTCTTTCACCATTTGAATGCTCCATTATCACTGATTATTATAGGATCAGGAAAAAATAAGGATCCCTACTAAAACTACAATACTGTTACGCAAGGTGTAAAAAAATGCTTGTAAAATATATTTCATCGCATGCGCTGCGAAAACTATTGCAGATAGAACAACAATATGTTCCATAATATTAAAGAAGATATTAATATCTACAAAAAATGTTTAAAAACTAAATATAAAGAAGCCGGAACGGGCCGCTAGTATTATATTAAAACAAGTCCTCCGCCGCTTGTATGTGTTTGTCTGTCAGCGATAAATTATAACAACTGCTGCACTGAATTTATTACGTTTTCAATATCTAGAATTATACATTTGAAAGGTACGTACATAATTTTTTGTAATGATTAACTGGTCATGGTTAACCGTGCGAAACTGGATTGGATCCCATCATGTTCTCTAGACCCATTCAGCCAGGGCGATTTATCTTATTGACTAGAATTAGTGAACATGTGTGTGCGCAGTGACAAGATCTATTCCATGAAAATACGCTCAAGACAGCTCATCCGACAGAAGGAAATGTTCAGACACTAACAAGTAACAACTAATATATACTTACAATGGTTATGGCGGCAAGGATGATAAAGAGAATCTTGAGGAAGGTCCTGCAGCATGGTTTCTCTCTGAAATTCTCTATTTCCGCTGCATATAGTTGGCCGAAGCCCTGGCTGTGGGCGGATTTCGATTTTTCATCGTTCGCCTGCGGCTCATTTCCTGTGAAAAACAGGAACATCATCACTGACTTATGAAGGTGATTTTAATGATACATCTAGAATGAAGAGCGTCAAGCGATGCCTAAGCCGGCTCTCTATTTCTCTTATTTTTATTATATACCTACACCTTAACATCGCATAGAAAATTAACAATTTAACTCAATAATAAAATTTTGATGAAATATTCTTCTCTTTGAAGCTGGAATAGTTAACGCTATGTAGAACTCTGTCTTAATAGCATCATCAATGGAGGATCTCCAAATGGTAATAGAGTTCATAAAAGCGAAAGAGAGGGTCTGACTAAAGCAGACCAATGTGATGGTCATATATCAAAAAGTCGCCGAAGAACTGTGTTACTCAACGGTTTTTGTGCCATACCCTTAGCTTTTATAAAAATTTTATGCACCTATGTAACATATATAATTTTAATAATAAAATGTGTTTACTTAAGAAACTTAAATGAATAAATCACTAGGGAATTGTTAACGAAACACAGTAAGTAAATATTCAAAACATACAACGAAAAACTGGAATTAAAATTACAAATCCCACGTTGAGAAACACTGCTTTAGAAGGAACATATCGTGGCTGTAACGTTAGGCCACGTCGGGTTGCGACTTCGGAAGAGTTGCTGCATCTGGCACAAGACACACTAGACTAACGGCCAACCTCAGAAAGAGACCAAGAGAACGAACAAGATGGTTCTTTTGTAAGGCTTGTTTGTATGTACTACGCGAGTTTGCCTATTTTGCCGAAGCCGCGTACAAAATATTTGAAGAAGTCTATTAAGTATGAGGGTGTGCAATTATTTAATCAATTACCGCCTAAAATTCGTAACATTAGCGCGTTTAACCAATTCAAAAGGGCATTAAAGATACAATCAGAATAAGAGGAGACTAAAATTGGGACGGCTGATGGCGACGTGTATCTTGTTCGTAATATACATATTAAGTTTCTCATGTAATAAAGTTCTTTGAACATTATGTTAAATGGTCTTTTTATCTTTTACTTGCTTAAAAAATCCTAGAGTCATTTCTTTGAGAGCGTCTTTTGTTTTTAACACGTCCAAATCGCTTAAATAAATAATCTTACCTTGAGCCGACTTAGTGTTCCCCATCTCTCGATAACCAGATATGTAACATACATCGACACAACCAGCATTTATAGCCGAAATACAATAGTCATACGCACCACTGGACCGCTGAATGAACATAATGGCACATCAAACTATTGAACTGCGGTCAGCTCCAAGGATACTGATAACGTTTTTCTATTTTGTAATTACCTTGTATAAATTGTTTGACATACAAGCGATTGTTTTCAATGCTTATTAATAAGATATATAGCATTAATAAGATATATAGCATACTTATTTGCTTACTTTTGTGATATAAATAAAACAAAGCATTTACGAAAATTAAAAGTCAAAATAATTTATTCATATAGGTAGGTCAATGTACACTTATGAACGTTAAAAAAGAAATATATTAAATGCATCTAATTTTAAATTTACTGCCAGTTCTCAAATCAAGGCAGTAAAACGTAAGAGAAGAACTCACAATAAACTCTCCGCCACTCTTTTTAATCGCCAAGTTTATCGTTATACACAATGTTTGTAAGTAGCTGCAACCACCACCATGACTTTTGTGATAACAAAAATATATCTATAGTCCGACTTAATAGACTTTCCACTACCACGAGGTGGTATTGCTAGAAGTGTATATTTAAGAAGGAGTTTAGTTCGGAGCTAAATAACCTCCTATTTGAAACCATGACTGCAGTAAATCGTTGCGTATTTTTTATTACTACTGTGCCTTCGTTATGTCGAATATAGAAACAATTATAATTATTTTAAACTACTGGTTAGCTTGTTTGATTGTACACTGAACGCCGGCTGTGGACCAATGGCCCATTCTATGAAGGAAAACATCGAGAGGATAATGGTAATCCAAAAAAGTTGAAGCCGTGTGTTAGGCACAAAAGACTGACTGAAATCTGACGACACCAAGGGTTGTAGTTGCTTCTGTACGAGTACAGTTCACCACTGTCTCTGTAAGAAACAAGGCTGTACACTTAGGCTTTCTTGGTTTTATAAGCGTGGCGATTTCCTAAATCACAGTTACGCCTCGAGAGTATAGCCAGACGTAGGCTCTCTTCAACTGTTACGTTACATTCATTTGTTACATAGCAATTAACATTTCATTATTTCGCTTATATTCTATTGTTGTACGCGAGTATTTAATATAGAAAAAATAACCTCTAATATTTAAAGCACCCCGATTTAACCGTACAGTTTCTTTTTGTTGAGTGTACATTATGAGGTCCCTGCTTGCTCTCTATATATACATCAAGCCTGAATTTGGGACCTGGTATGGGGCCTGGCTTTGTTCAAAAACTCTCGGTTTGTTCAATAAAGAATAATGTAACTCATATAAGAAATTACTTATAAGAAACTTAAGTAACATTTAACATAACGATATTAATCTTAAATTACGCAATTATAATAATAAAATGTAATCGGCAGCTGATGTGCACGAATATTAATGGAATAATAATTAATTATCCGGTAAGTATATTACATATTTACACAAATACAGTATTTACAATTTTCTTAACCTATAAAGTAATAATAAAAATAATTAAAGAAGAAAGAAGAAAATCAAAACAAATTTAAAAAGTTTGGTCCCTGTGTTTAAGTATATCTGGTTTACGAAATAAAGCCTCATTTCAAAAACTGTTATAATAATAATAATTTATTTATTGCAATAATATGGTACAAAAATGTGTAAGGTGGTACAATCGTAAGTTCGCATTTTCTGCCGCACACAATGGCGCGCAAATTTGTCTTCAAAGGAATTTTACATTATTAGTCATATGAATTGGTCAATTCTTTTTATTCTTTTGGTAAAATATAAATAATATCTACATAAAATACATACTTATTTTGTATCCCATTGCACTAACACTTAAATTATTTCAAACATTTTACAAATAATAAAAATCGTATACGGAGCAGAACATTTTGATTGGAACATTTTATTTGGAATAACTAGTGAATCATTGCGACAAATTTATTGTAATATTAGCACATTAAGTTACGTCATAAAGGCTCCTGAGACTACAATGTCAATAATTTCTTATTTGATCATTCTCTTCTTCAGATGCCACTTTATTTCTAAAGGTTGGCTGAAAACTTGAATTGCCGGCCTTGTCTAAATAGTTCCTTGGAGGATGAGATGCCGGTCCACTCGTAGTCGTAGGTTCGAGCCCCGGTTGTGAACCAATGGACTTCCTGTCTACGTGCGCTTTTAACATTCGCTCGAACGGTGAAGGAAAACATCGTGAGGAAACCGGCTTGCCTTAGACCAAAAAGTCGAAAGCGTGTGTCAGGCACAGGAGGCTGATCACCAACTTGCCTATTAGATAAACAAATGATCATGAAACAGATACAGAAATCTGAGTCCTAGAGTTATAAAGGTTGTAGCGCTATTGGTTTATTTTATTTTTAGTAATTAAATAGCCCGTAGATTGACGGAAAGCGTGATAAGTACTAATAAGAATTTAAGTAGAGTATCTTGTATATGAAAGCCTCATAAGGGTGTAATAAATAGATTAAAGATTATTAATTCCCAATACTGTTCATATCACGTTTAAAATGCGAAATATATTTTTGTCTGTAATTGGTATATAGCTGATTCAGCAACGGGAATAATTATTAATGACTTGAAATAAACTAAGGACTCTTTTGTTACTTTCTGTCAAAATCCTTTTTTTCTGATTGATTGATGAAAAGTTTTTTTCTGATTGATGAAAAGTTTTTTTCTGATTGATGAAAAGTTTTTTTCTGATTACCAAACAATTTCTGGTATTTTTATTTTATAAATTTATATTTTTTTTGTAACACTTATTTTTACCTAAATTGTCATACATTTGTGATAAAAGAGTTTGTAATATATACCATAGATATAGTATTATGTATGATGCGGTAAACTTTAATAAATAAATAAAATGTGTTTAACAGTGACGACAAATGATTACTTTAATAAAAACGGTGGAAATATTTTTTTTATGGAAAGGGAAAATAGGTAAAATATTGTCAATTAAGTTGTAAAATAATTGATGGATAGTTAATTTCGATAAATATATGTACGCTGGGTAATATATTATACGTAACAATTAACACTAAAGCATTAAAAATGGTTTGTTATAAATAGTGTAATAAATTCGCGTTCGTATCCGTTAAACGCTTGCGTAAATCAATATTAAGAATAAATTTTCTTATTAAATCAAAAACTTTATTATGAACTGTGTGATGTCGCCTTTACGTATGTGATAATTATATTTTACCACGTATTCTATTGTTTTTAATATCCTTGTTTTGAAGTTTCCCGAGATGACTGACATTTTCAATGGTTCTGAAAATCCGCTAATAAAATACGTCAGTTATTACATCATGTCTTACATAGGATAAAAACAATTGAAAATATGAAAATCATATTGAAGATGGCGTTTGCTGTTTTAGTTTTTCGTGGCTCTTGATAAATTTTCTGATATAAATCAATCGTATTATATGTCCTAAGGTAATGAGTATGTTACTACAGTATTTTAAAATTTATTTTAATATATTTAGTATGTATGTAAAACATAACTAGTCTTTGTTCGTTGTCCTATACAGTTGTACAATCTCGTTGCCATGGCAACTGGTACACAACATTACGCACAATAGTGACCACCCTTACACCAAGGCCGCGAAAATTTGCAATTAAAGAAACCTTTACCACCAATTCTCGGTACTTTGCTGATTTTTAGGGTGATGATGTCATAATAATAATATTAGTTAATAGATATATTAATTCTATTATTATAAAGCTAAAGACTTCTTTGTGCATATCGGTATTGCTGTCGTAATTTTTATAATCTAAATTTAATATAATTTAAAAGAAAATAGTATATGATTGGACAATTGCTTTGTACTATTTTCTTTTTCTCTCTGTTTTGATAGGATATTATCAGTAATATTAGGATTTCATTGATTTTTGTATAATTATTTGTGTTATCAATTAATTTTTGTAATCTTACTGTACATACTTCACAATTCTTATTTTACTGTTTTCTTTGATTATGGTTCGCTGGAAGAGATCGGGATCGGGGTTCGGGCGTAAGACGAATTGCTTTTATGTCTCCGCTTCAGCTGTGACTATGCTGACCACATCGACCTGGCATGAGTTACTAGACTAGAGAGAGTAGTGGAGCGAATTTTTGACGTACTTAAAAACGATAGTTCGGTTGTACAGGTATGGACTGTTTTTACGCCACGATGCGCAATCGAGCTATACCTTTGGTGAGGCGAGTGCGGAGGAGCCCTAACTTTAGTAAGTCCTAGGTGTAGTAGTAGGTCCTAGTCCTACGCTCGCCGTAGTCGAGGGAAGGCTGGATTCTCCTTACATGGGTCATTGCAATATGCAGTCACGGAAAAAATACTGTGATTTTAAGTTTATTATTGAATAAAAATAAATAAATCAGTAACGCTACAACCTATTAAGGTCTGGGCCTCACTCAGATTTCTGTATCTGTTTCATGATCATTTATCAATCTAATAGGCAAGTAGGTGATCAGCCTCCTGTGCCTGACACACGCTGCGCTGTAGATTTTTTGGGATTCCTCACGATGTTTTCCTTCACAGTTCGAGCGAATGATAAATGCGCACATATAAATTCCATTGGTGCACAGCCGGGGATCGAACCTACGACCTCAGGGATGAGAGTCACACGCTGAAGCCAACCAACAGTGTTGGCCTAGTACTGCACTTTATTTGGTTTTTTTTCTTACTCGGGTTGTCTGGAAGAGATCACTTGTTAGCGATAAGGCCGCCCATTGCATCTCTTATGCTTTTTATGTTATTTATTTTTAATGTATCTAAGTATAAATAAATATACCTTAGCTTATATATAACACAATAAAAATCATATGGACTTATGATTTATTTGTTATTAGTAAGTATTATAAGGGGATTAAGCTAATTAAGCTTTTTGTGTCACATTAGGGTTATATTAAACAATTGACTAATAGAGTTTATATATACATATAACATACAATTTGCTATAATATATACGGCGTCATACGTCAAGTCTAAATACATACACGTCATGTCGACATCAGTTACTACCTTCGCACCAGACTGTTAATAATGATAATAATAATTTAATTAAAGTATTATTTAATCCACTTATCAATGTAATAAAGTAATATTGTAATTAGTATTTTCTAGTACCAAGGCTACCTAAGGTTTAGGTCCTAAACTTGAACTCCGCCCAGTGAATTAAAAATTTCCTTTTTATTATAGAAAATATGACATTACATTCTTATATCGGGTTCCTTAGCTGAGAATTCGGATTATATATCTAAATATATTAAATTGAAAATAATAGTATTTATTTCAGTATTGTCAATACTTATCAGTTTCGAATGATCTATTCTTATCTATTTGAGGAGGAGAAGCGCGAAAGAACTGATTTACAGGCCCAAGGTTAATAATAATAAAACAAAATAAAAAAACAGACTTAAGTCCGTCCGAAAGTAAGTTTAGTTAGTCTATAGTCTATGAACACAGAGTGAAGAACAGAGTGTATTCCCCTTAACTACTGACTCAACTGTGAATAGGGTATAGGAAAAATGCTTTTAATAGATAAAAGTAAATTGGATTACTTTTAAATTACTTATTAGTCTTAAGTTAGGCTAGGTCTTAAAGTTAAATGTCTTTGTGTAGAAACAATTTATTTAAAAAAATCACAGGGGATATCACAAAATCAATTTAAATAAAATAATTGATCATTTTAATGCAACCAAAGCTTTTCCAAAGTGTTCCAAACAAATTAGATTTTATTAAGCCCATTATATTTTTGCAGTCAGCACCGGTGGAGAAAGTTGTTCCAGCATTTAACTATGTATAATGTCCATGGAGGGTTTAATCTGGATTTTACATGTACACATAAGACTTTTTAATTTTTAAGTACATCGTAAATGCATTTTTGGATTTCAGACAAATATCAGTGGAGAACCCTAAAATGTCAGTGACCCTAGATGAGTGATAAGAAAATTATTTCTTGCTTATTTTTGACCTCAGAGTCAACGACTCCGTTTAGATGTTTGATTCTGGTTGCTATAGAGATTCGCCGTATTTCTGTCAGAAACATCTATAAAATATATATTAATTCCGCTTATATGATACTAAGGAGCAGTGAAAGCTTAATAGTTTCAGCATGCTTCACCGAGGTCGTGGGTTCAAATTCAAAATTTTCTTTATCAATTTTCACTTACTACTCGTAGGGTGAAGGCAGAAATTTTGAGAAAACCCGCGTCTTAGACACAAAAAGTCAACGGCGTGTGTCAGGCATTGAAGGCTGATCACCTACTAACTATTACTAACAACAAATGATAAAAAAATACATACAGAAATTTGAGGGCAAGATCCCAAGGGTTGTAGCGCTACTGGTTTTCTCTTTTTCATAACGAAAAGAGGAGAATTAATATGCTTCATTTCAACCCCGTAATTGTACCTAATACCCATGTATATTCATAAATATGTTATAAAACTTCTTTTTAAACTAAACTTACAGTTAATATGTATCTTTAAACATTAACTAAACGTAATAATAATTAGTAAGATCTCTATCCGATTTTATTTAACATCTAGAGGTCGTTATGTATAAGGGGTCTTGCGTGTTCACCCTAACACCACGCAACCACAGATTGTAATTAAGCCATAGACCGCCATAGACCACTTCCATAAGTTTGGTGGACGCTAGAGCGCACGAACGCGTCCGACATTGGCGCGCTTTTTAAGTGACATTAAAAAGTATCAAAATGGAGGGCTGCGGGATGAATTGTATAAAATATTTACTAGTTGTTTTTAATGCGATATTTATGGTAAGTTTTTCTATTCTATTATTTATTCT